CAATGGACATGAGTTTAAGCAAACTCAGGGAGACTGTGAAGGACAGGGAGCCAGGAATGCTACAGTTCATGGAGTCACAAAGAGTCAGACACAGCTGAGCAACTCAACAAAAACAGCACGTTCCCAACTTTGCAAATTTTTCCTCCTGGTTCCTGTCTTCCTGAAGGCCTTCATCCCTCTGCCTATTGAATCTCATTCATTCTTAATTCTGGAAGTTCTTTCTTTTATTCCATGTTTGTGTGTTCCAGATTTATGCCCTTCACTACTGCATAGAACCTGGGTCTGTCACTGCATATTCCTCGTACAGTTCCTTCTATAATAGCTGTTACGTACCAACTGATTAAATATCAGCTATATTGAATGGAAAATAATTTTAATGTGTGTTACAAGCTTCCAAGTTTCTCCAAAATCCCTAAAAACAGGTCTAAACTGCATAGGAAATATTTTACATGAAAGAACTGAACATGTTCATTAGAACATTTCCTTGCTTTATGTCCCTGATCCATAAGAGGAAAAATATGTCCTCTTGAATCTCAAACATCTGGACATTGGCCTCTCAATAAATCATGGGCTCTGACACATTTTCCAGTGCAAGTTTACATTTGATTTTCATGTCACTTTGCCTAAAATGGTCACAGATTTTAGCTCTGATTTTTATCACTGCATATTTCCTTTGTTAGTTTAAAAAACCCTCAATACTGAGAACCTGGACACCTAACCTTGCCTTAATAGGTAGAGTAAATAGCAAAATATGAACCCCAAAGAGGTGGTGTGACAAAAAGTCTCCTAATGTTTACTGAAAGGATTAAATTTTTATAAATATTAGGTCATAAAGTCATGTCATTAGTTCATGGGATGGAGGATGGAGGATGGAGTTCATTTTACAGGAAAACGAAGAATTTAATACTAAAATCTAGACAGTTGCCATGTTATTACTTAGAACTCATAAAATGGGTGCTACAGTAGTCTTGCCTTCCTGTTTTTATTTTTTTTTCCCTGATCTAGGTAGTTTCTCTAACACTAGCATTGATTCATTATGGATAATGAATTTGGCATAGCAAAGAGTTGTTTGGCTAAAAACAATGATATAGATACATATATATACATATATATATATGTATATATATGCTAATTAGAAAATCAGGATATGAAAGGTTAGCAAGAGATTGTAGGAATTTTGAATTTATGAAGTAATGGAATCAGACTTCAGGTTAATATATCTTTGTCTTTTTTCTGCAATTTATAGTGGCTTAGTATATGCTGTGGCCAAATACTGATGAAATCGTTTATAACTTTAGGTAAAGGAATATGCTTGACAAAAGAAGTTTCATGAACCAAACAGCCCTGTCATTTATACAAATGGAGCCAATGTTCTTCACTAGGATCAAAAACCAATTAGACAACTTGGATGGATCTCAAGGGAATGATGTTTAGTGAAAAAGGACATTTGGAAAAGGTTACAAGCTGCACGATTCCATTTAAATAACATTTTTGAAATAACTAAATTATAGATATGGAGATTAGTGGTTGCCAGGGATTAGAGACTGGGAAGGAAGTGTGGGGAGAAGGTGAGTGTCATTATGAAGGGGCAGCAAGTAGATGAATGGGGTGGTGGTTACATGAAGCTACACAGGTGATAAAACTGCACAGAACTACATGCACACACAATCACACACACACACAGACACCTGTGTCAAAATCTGAGTGTACTACAGTTACGCAAGATGGTATCACTGGGAGAAAAGATTGTGTGAAAGGTATATGCCACCTTCTGTACATTTTTTGGCAAATTCCTGTGAACTTATGATTATTTCAAAGTTAAAAGTTCTTAAACATCAGTGTCTCTTTTTCTGTTTTGCATATAGGGTTATGAGACACAGATGTATAGAACAGACATTTGGACTCTGTGGGAGAAGGCGAGGGTGGGATGTTTCAAGAGAACAGCATCGAAACATGTATATTATCTAGGGTGAAACAGATCACCAGCCCAGGTTGGATGCATGAGACAAGTGCTCGGACCTGGTGCACTGGGAAGACCCAGAGGGATCGGGTGGAGAGGGAGGTGGGAGGGGGGATCGGGATGGGGAATACATGTAAATCCATGGCTGATTCATGTCAATGTATGACAATAACCACTNTCTTTACTGGGGTAGGGGGGGAAGTTCTTAAACATCAGAATTTCCTTGTCACTTTAGAGAAGGGGCCTATGCAGGTCAGGGAGAAACCTAAGTGAGATGGCTGGGAAGGTGGGAACTGGCTGATGGCAGCTTCCAACCATGGTGGGACTGTGTGCCTGGAATTGCTGAGTCTTCTGAGTGCTGTTTTTAGAAAATGCCAGATATTGAAAATTCAAATAAATATCTCTTGACTTTTATTGACAATTGAGTCAAACTGTTTGGAACATTCTGTATAAGCCAGACTAAAGACACTGGATGGCTGGATTCAGTAGGGTTGGATTCAGTCTTAATGATTCAGGAGCAAACTCAGCTTGAGGCCAGAGGTTAGGTTTGGCCTCCAGATGATTCACCCATCACTGCCCACCCCAAACTGTTCATCTCAGCATGCGGCTCACGCTCCTCTGTGCTGACTTACAGAAGACTGAGAAGTGGGGATCAGGCCACTGATGAAGATGGCATAAGCAGCCCCCAGTCACTGATTCCTGGGACTCTGGAGAACATGGGTTTGACTCTGGTTCTCCCTGCAGGCTCTGAGCAAGCCCTTCACCCCCACCTCCTCAGCACGGTGCCTAGAAACAGCAGGTGTTCAGCTTGCCTTTTAGAGGAGCTCATTTGTTCCTTCCCAGCTGTCTTAGTTTTTATTTTTAAAGCTAAATGAGATCTAAAAAAACTGAGAATATGACCTAGAATCTGGTATCCTATGCTAGAGTTTTCTGGAAGTGAATACAATGTCCTGATGAACACACAATATGAACAGCACTGATAACCTCTGTGTTGGTCTGAAGCCATGAATGTAAGCCTTTTGCTAATTGGTGCAAAGAGCAGAGAGAGGTTCTGATGGGTTATTCTGGGTCTAGTGTTTGAAAGGCTTCATCATCTCTGCCCCTGCTAATGCACAGTCTAGTCAACCCTTCTTCCCCAACTGCCAACCCGGACAGCTGACTTGGCAGAACTGAGCAGCACAAAGCTGGCTGCATACCCTCTACCACAATCACATTTCTCAGTTGACAACCTAGCACCTCCTGTCTGAAGCATAACGTACTGATCAGACTCTCTCCATGTTCATTCTCTAGTAGACAAAGCACACCCAATTCCTTTAGGAAGGAGGTGAATAGAAAAACTCAAATTTTTTTTAAATTGAAATTTTAATTTGTTTGAAAGGCTTCATCATCTCTGCCCCTGCTAATGCACAGTCTAGTCAACCCTTCTTCCCCAACTGCCAACCCGGACAGCTGACTTGGCAGAATTGAGCAGCACAAAGCTGGCTGCATACCCTCTACCACAATCACATTTCTCAGTTGACAACCTAGCACCTCCTGTCTGAAGCATAATGTACTGATCAGACTCTTTCCATGTTCATTCTCTAGTAGACAAAGCACACCCAATTCCTTTAGGAAGGAGGTGAATAGAAAAACTCAAATTTTTTTTAAATTGAAATTTTAATTAAAAAATTTTTCAATCTTAAAATTTTGTCCCTGGCCCAATTACACATTCTCAAAGTTAAATTATTAATGATTCATCTGTACAATTTCTGTCCTCTTTTCTTCAAAAGTTTGCTATCAAAAGTCCAAGGAATGTTTTCTAATCCTCCTAAAGGAGCATTTGTAAATAATTCATGATTATAGGTCAATAAAAGAGTCTTTTCTGAAATTCCCTTGGGGTCCAGGGTTTTGGACTCGGTGCTTTCACTGCTAAGGGCTTGGGTTCAATCCGTCAGAGAACTAAGATTCCATAAGCTGCATAGTGCAGCTGGAAAAAAAAAATGTCTTTTCCTATTTATTATGTTTTTTTACCAAGCTTTATAATATGCAGATTTTTAAAGGGTTGGTTCTCAGCCTCAAAAATTATGCTAATAAGGTAAGAACAATAATTCATAGAATAGCCACTAATTTATCTAAGGGGAAATATGCAGAGACCCTGGGCTCTACGTTTGTTTTCAACTAATTATCATGTATTTACTTTTCCATTAGTCCAATAATTTTTCTTTCAATTCAGAATTAAGCAATAAGACACTGAATTATATAAAGGCCTGTTTAGCATAACAGACATACCTCATCATTCCCCAGTCCTCTGATTTACAGCTTTTAAAATGCACAGCTAAGAGGCTGTCTATATGCCCTTTTGTATTTAGACTCCATCATGCAGTCACCTCAATAACTTATGCATTCTCAGAAAGGCTACCTAGCAATTAACTCCAGTCTTTTCTAACTCACTATCTCATTATGTAAAGTGGATCTGAACACAAACTTTATTAGCAACTTTCAATTCTAATTCCTTATCCCCCCCACCACTCCCACCCCTCCGAGTAATGTCAGTTTATGTGACCAAAATACTCTGGAAAATGGCAGTTAGAAAAAATCCACATTGGACTGGCAGCACATATAGTAATTGGTCTTTGCACTATGGGGCACCACCATAAATCGAGGCTGTCATATTTCAGCTAAAGCATGGGTTGCAATTCTTTATAGCAATAGAAATGAATTCTCCCTACCACACATTTAACTATGTTCAAGAGGAATGTGCAAGTAGGAAAGCTATTATTTTTATTCTAAAGGTGAAAAAAAAACCAAACTCAAAACCCTTTTGTTAAAAGTTAAAGGAATTCACAGCATCACTTCTTTAAACCCTACAAAAAGGTGGGAAGATGTCTTGCAGATTCCTTTCACGTGTGTGAAGTCCATCACCCCAAGAGCCGAACTGTGGTTTACTGTACTTGTCCTAACAGGAAGGAGTCCAGGTGGGCTGATGGGGCTGGAGGACAGGCAGCACCTAACTGTGTCCAACGCACAGACAGGGAGGCACCCATCCAGGCGGCTGACTTACCAACATCCGGATCCACCGCTTGAACCCTGGTCAACAGAGCCTTGGTGGCCGTGTTCTCATAGACACAGGCGTTGTAGTGGTCAGACGAAAACACCGGCGCGTTATCGTTCACATCCTCCAGGATCAGATGGACGTTGGATTGGCAGAATCGGCCTCCCCCGTCAGTGGCCCTGGCAATGAGGCTGTATGCAGGGACCCTCTCCCGGTCCAACGGAGCCAAAGTTTTTAACTCACCTGTGAAAATAAATGGCCTGGCTTTTCAAAAACTGTCTTTCTTCAAAGAGCAGGGAATCAATTATATACAGAACCCCAGTATAGGAAAGACTGCTGATATTTGGCTCAAGAGCTTCATACTTGAAAAATAGAGCAAGTTCAAATTTTTTAAGCATCAGGGAAAAATTTATGGGATTCTGGATGCAACAAGAAACCAACAGCATGACCTTCAAAGGAATTAATTCCACTGTGAAGTCTCTTGTGTCAGGGATTCCTTCTTTTGGCAGGATGAGAAGCTCCACATCTCTTTAAACCTCTCAAGAACTGCTCAGTTTTCTGATGGTCAATCAGGTCAGTGGTCTTTAGATTCAGAAGGGTTAGTCTCTCTGCTTCCAGACACTTAATCTTTTTTTACCTCATCTTTTAGAGGAAAACACACAGTCCAAACAGGCTGGCTCCAGCAGAAAGAGGTAACAAAAGAGTCATATTGTGCCAGGCAAACCCCACTTGCTGGGAGAGCAGAGGGCCAGCAGCTGTTGTGGGGGGAGTCCCTGTGGGGGATAACTGAGGAGCCCGGAGCAGACGTGCAGGAAGGGGATTTTACAACCATGGAGGGGTTATTAGTCACTGGAATAGCTATACTGGTCCTGGGTGTCAGTCCCTGTGGGGATTTCATTGCTACTTAAATTTCAGTGGATAATGGCAGTGACAGACCTGAATAAATGCCGTTTGGTGAAAAGTCAGACTCATGAAATATTATTATGTACTCTTAGTAAAATTAGCAGGTATCACTGGGAGCAAGTCATCAGTACTTACAAAGCTGTTCCTCCTACAGCTTCCTGAAGGTAGGCAGTTGTCAAATACAGGCTGGATCATTTCCCCCTCCACAAAAACATCCAGGGAGTTGTCAGTTGGGCATTTGGGACCCTCCAAGATCTGACCTAAAGTTATTTTTCCCACCACTTTTCTGGCGAGTCATCCCATGGCTCCTCTGACCAGTGAGAGTGCCGTACGCAGCATTTCCTGGAGGTGCTGTGCTCTCTGCCCACGCTCCACCCATGCTGGCAGCGACCTGCTTTAGCCCCGAGGATCCTGGCTCAGTTCAAATGCTGGTTCTTCTTTATAAGCTTCCTCTTCCCTCTCATCAGAACATTAGCTGTTTTTTCCTCTGTGCTCAGATATAACTTCTTGATGTCTCTCTCAGGCACTCATGTCATTGTCTTTCATTACTATCATTATTTCTGTTATTAGTATTACTGTCTCACTGCTCTGTCTTCCCCACTGGGTTACAGTCTCGCTTGGGAATGCCATGAGGGGTTCATGTCAGAGTCTATCACAAATACTCCACAAAGTGTTTTTAGGTCCAGTAATTAATAAATGCTAGCTAGTCAAAAAACAAGTGCCAGGCCTCTATATCCAAGTAGTATATTGTTATGCAACTAAGTCCTTCCCAGTAAGATATAGCTGACATGGGAGTAGATTATTGAGAAGCCAATATCTTCTGGAAACTCAGTAGTTAGTGATTATTCACTGCAACCAATACAAAGCTGGAAATATGCAAATCATCTAATCATTACACTTCAATTAAAAATTGTCAAGGGATGGGCCAATCCAGCACACAGCTCTGTAATAACTTACCTCCATAGAAAATGTCTTTTCCTTAAGCTTTGGCCTTCAATGCGGGCATCTGCCTTCAGTGTGCATAACCTTTCACCTTATAAACTTTACCTTAATGTGGAAGCACATCTGAGGTCTCACAACTAAGCAGCAATGATGAATAAAAACCAGACAAGTGTGCTAATAAGCACAGGAACCCAAAAAGGGTTTCAGCAAGGCAAGACTCTCCTTACTGTGCACTGCTGTCTGGTTTGCATGGAAACCTGCATTTATAATTCTACATATAGCCTTAATAAGGCAGCTGCTTTAACTCATGGATATGAGAAAGAGGAGAAGCAAATAAACACATCTGATTCCCTGGTGCTACCACATGTAGGTAAAGTCAGGGCAAGTTTATAAGTCAAATGAGGTTTGTGTCTTCCAGACACAATGAGCCACTAGCATTTCTTAAGAGTCCAAGATAACAGAGTGTCATATTAAGGCTCTTAGATACCAACTACCCCCTAGTGATGAGACCATGTGAAAATTTAACTTCTCTTGTGGATTAACAATGGCATTTCAGAGAATAAATTTTGCCTTACCACTTTCTGGATCTAGAAAAAATTCGCTGTTTCCAGGTCCATAGAGTGAGTATCGTATATCTCCATTGGATCCAATGTCAGCATCCTTGGCACTGACCTTCAGGATGATTTTGTTTGATGGAATGTCTTCGGGAAGTGATGCTGTATATGCAACCTGGGCAAAGGCAAAATCATTAGTATGCATGGGGCGATTGCCATATTAGCCTGCTAAATGATTTCCTTAAAAAGGCACTTGCATAATTTATCTTCAGTTACGTTTTTCCTTTACTACAGAATCATCTTACACCATTGGATGAAACATAGAATATCTCTTGCCCTGTCCCTCCCATGCTCATTCATTCAACAAATGCTAATTGAGCAGCTGCTTTGGGCGAGGCACTATTGAGATGCTAGGGGTACAATGCAGAAGAAAACAGACAAAAATCCCTGCCCCTGTGGAACTGTGAGGCACATCAGATAATGGTCACATCAGATAGTAATCAAGCACCAGGGAGTCCTTGGGGATCCTTCAACTTTAAAGACACTACTAACTTCTGGCATTAGTATGATTTGCAACAATTTTCTAAGCTAAAGAACAGCAATACTGTCTTTCAGTCTACATGTAAGGAAAAGGTAAATGAAGGGTGATTTAATTTTGGTAAGAAAGAATATAAAATCAGTAACTGACACCTTGCATTGGCTCTCGGGCTTTGAACTATGGGGGAAATGACGCGTCATGAGAAGCCTGGAGACCCAGCTTCATTACCAGCATTGCTGCCAGTCAGCTGTGTAAACTTACACAACAAAAGCAATTCATACTTTGGAGAGGTCCATTTTTCTTTTATGAAATCAGTAGTCTAGATATGAAAAATCACAATATTCTTTATGATTCCTTAAAAAGCTTTTTAAGAGTCCCGATTTTATTTTTTGTTTGTATTTTTTAATGGGCAGAATTAGGTACTAATTGTGCTACCTATACTCTTTCCATGTTTATAGTATTTCATCCTCTTACGTGCTTATATAAAACTGGACTGCACTAATTAAGGAGAAAGGAAGAGATTGTAGCCAGGTCTTAAGGAGAAAAGTGAAATGGGTTTTGACTAAATTTTAGAGAAGTAGAGTGAAAAGCAGCAATTTATCCAACGTGGCCACAAATCTTACCTGATCACACACAGGGCTATTGTCATTCACATCACTGACAGTCACTTCCACCATGGCCTGAGTGACAAAGAGCCCATCGGTGGCAGTGATATTGAGGAAATAAATGTCTTGTTCTTCTCTATCCAGATGTCTCTTCACGTAGACCTTCCATTCGTTCTGCACCAGGCCTAGGGCAAACCTTCCTCGGGGGTTCCCTCCTGCAGTGAAAAGAGAGTTTCTGAAGATGAGCAATCAAAAGCTTTGATCTGCACCTACAGTGAGAGGCCTGTGCGAGGTCAACCAGGTGCCTCTCAAACTGCATCATTTACGAGACTGGAAAAAAATGGACACTTCCTTTTGATTCTCCTGCAACAAAGCATGATATTTATATGCTTGGCTTGTGTGGAAAGTAAAACAGTAACTTTCCAAGGGAAGAAAATGTACTTAGAGAAGCCAGAGATGATCTCTTGTTTGGCTCCCTTAAGGACAATCAAATTCAAACTGTGAACAATCAATCTTCTTCTCAGATGATACAATTGTCTTTCCACTCTGTCTCAAGAGAGGATGTAATACACTGTAGCTCTTGTTACCCAGACGATTTCATTAGCCGTTGATTATGCAATCAAGGAAAGGCAGTCAGCTCTATTAAGGAATGTTTTAATGAAGGCGTTATCATACCGCGGCTCTTCTTCTAAGGACTAAAATCTGGGGGACAAAAGTTTGTGTGACAGAGGAAGACCCATTTGGATTAAAGAGCCCCAGTGAGGGGTTACTGAAGGAGCTGCTCAAAGATAAGCACTGCAATTAGATCAAATTTATCAGAGGGAAGCTGGTGAAAATGGAAGAAAAGGACAAGAGTTGGAGCGGAACCACTTTTGATGAGGCTGAAACATGAAAGTGGTCCCAGCAATATTCCTTTCCTGCATCACTGAACTACACAGAGGCAAAAGCAGCTTGGAGGAAGGAAGAAGAAAACCACCCTGACCTTCCAAACCTGAAGAAGGAGATAACGTCACTTCAAACACGGAGGAAGACTGGACGAGACAGCTGGCCTGAAGCCCAGACTCCAGTTAGATCATCACCGTTTCTTTGGTTTGGGGGCATTCAACACGTGTTTGTCACCTGCTTTGGACCACGTACTGTGCCAGGCAGTGGGGTTATGGCAGTGGACAAAAGTGACAAAAGTCCCTGCCCTTGTGGTGGAGTTCACTTTCTGGTGGGAAAGGTTGATAATAAACAAATAAGTAAGGAGAGCCCGCTGCCTGTTGGCTGCTGCTGCATTGAAAAAGTGGAGCCATCTCTCCTTCTTACAATGAATCTTTAAAAGAGTGCGAGCTAAGAGTCAGTTGTGCCTGACTCTCTGTGACCCCATGGACTGTAGCCCACCAGGCTCCTCTGTCCATGGGATTCCCCAGGCAAGAATACTGGAGTGGGTTGCCATGCCCTCCTCCAGGGGATCTTCCTGACCCAGGGATCGAACCTGTGCCTCTTTGTGTCTCCTGCGCTGGCAGGCGGGTTCTTCATCACTAGCACGACCTGGGAAGCCCCGGCGTGGACGCGACTGTAACCAAGCAAGGTCCCACGAGGCCTTCCCAGAGCAGACCCCACCCATGTCCTGTCCTCTGCCTGATTTTTAAAAAAGTTTTTTATTGAAGGATAATTGCTTTACGGAATTTTGTTGCTTTTTGTCAAACCTCAACATGAATCAGTCATAGATGTACACATATCCCCTCCCTTTTAAACCTCCCTCCCATCTCCCCCTCCCCTACCCCATCCTTCTAGGTTGATACGGAGCCCCTGTTTGAGTTTCCGGAGCCTTACAGCAGATTCCCGTTGGCCATCTATTTTACACATGGTAATGTAACTTTCCATGTTACTCTCTCCACACATCTCACCCTCTCCTCATGTCCGTAAGTCTATTCTCTAGGTCTGTTTATCCATTGCTCTCCTGTAAATCTGCCTTCCTTTTCTCTGCAGGAGTACTTTAGTCAAAGACTAAATTTAAACTGAGAAGTGAGAAAATGCAGAAAGGAAAGCAAACAATACAAAATAATAATATGTTAGTCATTAAACAAAGTCAAGGACCTTTAGTTCCTCCTCAGGGACAACAGATAGCATTCTGAGTCATGTCCTTTGAGCTCTCTTGAGATACTGAACTTCCCAAGTTAAAGAAGTTAACTATGTTACCCACAAGCAGGTAGACCCCAGACCAGTTGGAACCAGAAGGTTGATGATGCTGACTCGTCACCACCATTCAACCAACTGGAAGAATGTCCACAAACTGATCATGCCCTGCTCCTTAAACACTATAAGGCCCCTCACTGCCCAGCCCCTGGGGTGGAACACACAGTCTTGGGGGCATTAGCCCACTGTGGCCCCCTTTGCCTGGCAAAGCAATAAAGCTATTTCTTTCTACTTTGCCCCAAACTGTCTTTGAGATTTAACCTGACACTGGTGCACAGAGGCTGGATTTTGGCGATTCAACCATGGGCTAAATGAACCACAGCGGACAGACAGTGCAGAGAAGCTGAGGGCTGCACATTCCTCCAGGGCAGTGATTCTCAACTGAGAGTGGCTAGTCCCATATCCCCGGGACATTTGTCAACCTCCAGAGACATTTCTGGATGTCCCATTGGGGTGATGCCGATGACCGGGCTACTGGAATCTACTGGGTAGAAGCCAGTGGTGCTGGTGACTGGCCCACACTGTCACCTGCAGCAAGGAAGGGCCACCCACAATGGAGACTTACCCGGCCCTCAATGCCAATCTGCTGAGGTCGAGAAAAATGCTCTGGTGAGGCACGGGTTTTCCCTGGGATATCACTTTCCTCCACCACTGACTAGGATTCAATTAGACTTCAGTTGAATATGATTTCAGCATGCACAAATGTAACCTCTCTATTAAACGCTTTCAGTGCAGGCCCACACTGCTCTTTTGTGAAATAAAATGATTAATGGTCCTTTGTTCATCTGTGGCAGCACAGCCAAGTTGTGTTACATCAAGAGCAAAAGTTAAATCTAATTAAAATCAGTTGGTGGTTGGCACAGCTAATAGTAACAGTAGCTTGAAGCTATTCTGTTCTCATTACTTTGGTAAAGTCGATGGGATGGTCCCTTAAACCATCCACTGAGAATTCAGAGACAACGTATAAATAATTAAAGCTGAGTATTTAACTGTTCTTTCAAATAGAAAAGTATTCCTCCGAATGCCTAAGAAGCTTTTTTGTCTAAAACTGAATGTAAACAAATCAAAGTGATACTGTACTCACTTTTCTTTCCTCACCATGATCGCTCATGTCTTTACTGCAGAAATACACATTTTAATGAAAAAAAAAAAAAAACCACAATGGAAGGTATCAGGAAAAGCATAAATGCATTAAGACCTTTAAACAGAAAACAGCCTCAAGAAAACAGTTGCGTAAGGAAGAGGAGTGTGCAGAGAGGCGTGAGTGTCCTGAGCACAGGCACGGATGCTCTCCTGTGGGTCTTATTCTGCGGTGATTAATTAATTTTCTCACTAAAGTACTTAAGAAGATTCTGCGTCCTAAGGGCATTCTAATTAATTCATTTTTCACTTTGAATAATGTTGTTTTTCTAAAGGGAAGCCACCTGACTACAAGTATGGATGGATTCTTTGAAATTTTTTGGCACTTGGCTTATGTTCTGCCTTTGAATGGCACAACATCAAAATATTAGCTTTAGAACCCCCACACCACCAACCTCTCCTCTTAGAAGTTGAAGGCCATCAGCCCTGGAAAGCTACCCCTGATCGGTGATACCCCATTTTCACTCTGACACAAGATGCTCAGAGTAATGGTAACGTGTGTGTGTGTGTGTGTGTGTGCATTCTGTGTGACCTCACTTGTCTATCTTGGCTTTCCTATTGAACTGCTATTTACTATTTGGAAAGACAGAAGAGGGATCCAAAAAATTTGCCATGTCAGGAGACACACCCTTTAACTTGGAGTTATAATTTAAGATTTTTCAGCAAAAAAAAAAACAAACAAACAAAAAAACACGCCCTCTGATTTGTATGTGTGCGTGCGTGCGTGTGTGTGTGTGTGTGTGCATGCATCTGAGTTTTTATTACCAGGAAAAACTTGTAAATAAAGCTATTTATTTTCTTGCCATTACAAAAAGTAGGAAAAAGGAATATAAACTGAATGTAAACAAATCAAAGTGATACTGTACTCACTTTTCTTTCCTCACCATGATCGCTCATGTCTTTACTGCAGAAATACACATTTTAATGAAAAAAAAAAAAAAACCACAATGGAAGGTATCAGGAAAAGCATAAATGCATTAAGACCTTTAAACAGAAAACAGCCTCAAGAAAACAGTTGCGTAAGGAAGAGGAGTGTGCAGAGAGGCGTGAGTGTCCTGAGCACAGGCACGGATGCTCTCCTGTGGGTCTTATTCTGCGGTGATTAATTAATTTTCTCACTAAAGTACTTAAGAAGATTCTGCGTCCTAAGGGCATTCTAATTAATTCATTTTTCACTTTGAATAATGTTGTTTTTCTAAAGGGAAGCCACCTGACTACAAGTATGGATGGATTCTTTGAAATTTTTTGGCACTTGGCTTATGTTCTGCCTTTGAATGGCACAACATCAAAATATTAGCTTTAGAACCCCCACACCACCAACCTCTCCTCTTAGAAGTTGAAGGCCATCAGCCCTGGAAAGCTACCCCTGATCGGTGATACCCCATTTTCACTCTGACACAAGATGCTCAGAGTAATGGTAACGTGTGTGTGTGTGTGTGTGTGTGCATTCTGTGTGACCTCACTTGTCTATCTTGGCTTTCCTATTGAACTGCTATTTACTATTTGGAAAGACAGAAGAGGGATCCAAAAAATTTGCCATGTCAGGAGACACACCCTTTAACTTGGAGTTATAATTTAAGATTTTTCAGCAAAAAAAAAAACAAACAAACAAAAAAACACGCCCTCTGATTTGTATGTGTGCGTGCGTGCGTGTGTGTGTGTGTGCATGCATCTGAGTTTTTATTACCAGGAAAAACTTGTAAATAAAGCTATTTATTTTCTTGCCATTACAAAAAGTAGGAAAAAGGAATACATTTAAAAAATAAATTCCTCTATCAAAGCACAAATGCATTAAGACCGTTAAACAGAAAACAACATTAAGAAAACAGCTCCATAAAGAAAAAGAAGAGTAGTGTGGAAAGGAAGTGTTGGGTTTTTTTCCCATTAAAATGTATATTTCTGCAGTAAAGACATGAGTGATAATGGTAAGGAAAGAAAGTGAGTAAAGCATCACTTTGATTTATTTATGTTCATTTCAGACAAAAAGCTTCTTAGGCATTCTGCTATTTTTATTTCTTCAACTGGGATATTTGGCTGGACTCTTTTAAAATTTTATTTCTTTATTTTGGTTACTCTGTGTGGCATGTGGGATCTTAGTTCCCTGACTGGGGACCCAATCTGTGTCCCTTACAGTGGAAGCAGGGAGTCTTAGCCACTGGACTGCCAGCAAAGTTGGACTTTTTTTCAAATGATAAAAATTGACTGAGTATCAATCTGGGTCATCTGTCACAAGCAAACCAATGAACTGCAAAATAAGGCTGAGTCAGTAACAACTAAAGAACTGAGTCGTCTCAGCCCCAGAGAGGTGAGATAACTCCCCAAACCCTCATCTCATCTGTCCCTCCCCTACTCTTACCCCCTGCAGTGCCTGAATGTGCGCTAAGTCGCTTCAGACGTGTCCGACTGTTTGAGACCCCATGGACTGCAGCCCGCTAGACTCCTCTGTCCGTGGGATTCTCCAGGCAAGAGCACTGGACTGGGTTGCCACGCCCTCCTCCAGGGGATCTTCCCGACCCAGGGACTGAATCCGTGTCTTCTGTGGCTCCCATACTGCAGGTGGATCCCCTACCGCTGCCCGCTGGGGATCCCCACCCCCTGCCCCCTTCCATCTCCGTAGGAAGCAAGGCGCAGAGTGAACTCCGCGGGTGGCAGACTTACCTGTGATGTGGTAGCTCACTTGGCGATTGACGTCAGACGTGTCCCTGTCCCACGTGCTGAGGACGGCGACCACCTCACCCGGGGGGTCGCTCTCCTTCACACTCCCTCGGTACACCTCGTGGGCAAAGACTGGGGCGTTGTCATTTATGTCTGTCACCCTGACAGACACCAGTGCCGTGGAGGAGAGCGAGAAGGCTTCCCCGAGGTCGGCGGCCACCACGGAGAAGGTGAGCACGGGGTCTGCCTCATGGTCCAGGTCCTTCAGGGTACTGATCCAGCCTGTGTTGCTGTCAATGCTGAACGCTTCCATCACCTTCTCGGGCTGGGAATCCGCGTGGAGGGAGTAGGTGACCTGCCCGTTGGCTCCCCAGTCCACATCCATGGCTCTCACCTGTGTTAGTTTGGTGCCCACCGGCATCCCTTCCATGATGATCGTCTCGTAGTTCGAAGTTTCAAACACTGGCTTGTTGTCATTCAGATCCAGTACCTTGACGTCTACATCCACCGTGAACACGACGTCCACTTTGTCCAGGGGTATAGTGGCTGCCACTTTGAAGTGAAAAGCTGGGCTGACCTCGTGGTCAAGACGCTTGTCCAGCTTGATCGTGCCTGTTTCCTGTTCTATGATGAAGACATTGCCTTTGTTATTTTCCAGCCGCTCCCCATTAACTGTGCTGAATTTGACCTTCTGAGTGGGCAAAATCCTCAGGGTATCCACCGTGCTCCCAATGGCTGTATCTTCTGACACGGTGAAGGAATACTGAGACTGGGTAAAGGAGGGCACAAATGTTTCGGGGGGCAAGACGTGGATGTAGACAGGAATGAGCGCGTGCTTCACTGGGATGCCCCCGTCCACCGCTTTGACAAAGAAGGACAGCACTGTGTTCTTCAGCTGGTTAAAATGGCCCTTTGTGACCATCCAACCATTGTCAGGGTCGATTTCTAGGAGGTCAGCCACTGAGACCGAGGCCTCACTATAGAGGGAGTAAGTAATCCTTGCATTTGCTCCATCATCTGGATCCATGGCTTGAACCTGAGTGACCAGGTGGCCCCGTCCGACATCTGCCCTGACGCTGGCTCTGTATTCCACTGTCAGGAACTGCGGGGGGTTGTCATTTTCATCTACCACAATCACCCTCACCGTACAGAAAGTTGTTCTTCCTCCGCCATCAAGGGCCCTCAAAAAAATACTGATGTCTCCCTCCAGAGGGTTTTCCCTATCGAGCCTTTCTGTTGTCGTGACCTGTCCATTGCCATCTATGAGGAATCGATCCTTAGCAAAGTCATTGATGATGGCATAGCTGATCTGCCCATACATCCCCGGGTCCCCATCCGTGGCCCGAACGTGGATTACCTTCGTCCCAGCGGCTGCGTTCTCTCTCACCTCAGCTACGTAGGTGCTCTGTGAAAAGGCAGGGCTGTACAGGTTGGCCCCGAGGACCCTGATATGCACCTGGGCGGTGCTTGTGAACAGCCCATCGGAGACCGACACGTTGAGACTGTACAGAGGCTCCATCCGCTGCTTGCGGTGGTTGGACAGTGTAATGATGCCACTCCTGCTGTCCATCAGAAAGCTGGTCCGGTCGTTCCCAGATAAAATGCTGTATTCCAACCGGTCAAAGTCAGCGCTGTCTGCATCGGAGGCCTGCACACAGGTTACAAAATGGCCCCGCGGGGCTAACTCACTCACATATGACTCATAAATGAGCTGATTAAAGACTGGAGGGTTGTCATTTACGTCCGAGATGTAGATATGAACCAGGACCTCGCTGCTCAGTGATGGGAAGCCATTATCTGTGGCTCTGACTTTCAAAGTGCAGTGCTGCACCGACTCGTGGTCCAGCATCCGCGCGGTCAGGATCAAGCCGCTTGCGCTATCTATGTGAAAATAATCCGTGCTGTTGTAAGTATCCTGGACAATCTGATAATGGACCATTTTATTGTTTCCTGAGTCTGCATCAGTAGACACAACTTGTAAAACAGGTGTCCCGATGAGGGACGCTTCTGATAATGTTGTGTTGTATGTGGGTTGACCGAAAATAGGGGGGTTGTCATTCACATCATTAACAAGCAGGTCAATGGTAACTTCAGCCCTGGCCCCAGTAAGGGCATCACTGGCTCTTACTGTCAACTTGTAAGCTGATGTCATTTCATAATCCAAAGGGCTAATGACTTTCAGGACCCCAGTGTCAAAGTCAATGTTAAATTGTTTATACAGATCCCCATCAATAATGATATATATGATGCCTTGGCCTTCTGGACTCGTGGCATTGATGCTTAGAATGGGTGTGTCCATGCCAACATCTTCATTGACAGATGCTGTGTAAAAGGGCTTATCAAACACAGGCATCGCTTTGTTGACAATAGTGATGGGAAGTTCCACGGATGTGGACAAAGAGGGTTTTCCACCATCTCTGGCTAGGATGGTGACTCCATACTCAATGTTGGACAAGTCTGAGTTGAATGCTTCTTTTAAAATAACATTCCCTGAATTAGGGTTAATTTCGAAGTGGCCATAGTCATCCTGTAGGACATAGGTCACTTCCCCATTTGCACCTTTGTCTTTGTCAATGGCCGTCACTCGGTAAATCAGAGTGCCAGGCTCAGCGTCAACCTGTACGGCAGCGTAGTAAGGGAGACCCACAAAGACCGGAGAGTTGTCGTTTATGTCTTCGATGCTAACCCTGACCACCACCCGCGCCACCCGCAGATGGTCAAGCTCTCGGCTGGCTTCCACCACCAGCTCATAGAACTCCTGCTCCTCACGGTCAAAGGGAACTCCCGTGGTCTGAATGACCCCTGAGGTAGATTTTATCTTGAACTTGTTTCCTGGGTTTAAGATGCTATATTTTAAGGGCTCATTAAGGCGATTTCCAACTGCATTGACAATGGCAACTTTGGTTATGTTAGTGTTGTTCTCTGAGATGGAGGTGGAGTAAAAGCTTTGAGTAAAGTGGAGGCCGCTGTCCATGGCTTCTTTCACCAAGATGGTGACCATGGATGTACTATAGAACTTTCCATCAGACACCTTCACTATCAGCATATAATGATCTTTGGAGAGGTTGTTGTTTTTCACGGTGAGCACTCCACTGTTCGAGTCAATTAAAAAATGATCCAAGCTGCCTTCCATTAGGCTGTACGTCAGTTCAGGGGGCACCTCGGAGTCAGGATCTGTGGCACTAACTTTCAGAACCTCCACTCCGACATAGGTCGGTAGAAGTAAGACAGTCTCAAACACAGCCTGAGTGAACACAGGTGGGTTGTCATTCACATCCGTCACCTCTATGTTGACTTCAACGGGACTCTCCGCGGTCAGCTGGGGGCTACCACTGTCTCTCACGTGCACGTGAAAATGGAAGTGGGCGATGGTCTCATGGTCCAGGTTGGCAATTGTTCTGATCGCCCCTGTGCTGGAGTCTACCGTGAAGAACTTCTTGGCTGTGGACTCCACAATCTGATACACAAGCAAAGCATTCCGGTTGCTGTCAGCATCAGTGGCTCGAATCACCAGTGGGCTGTTATCCAAGCTCCTGACAATGCTATTGATAGGGGCTGCCTCGCTGAGGCTGCCTGAATATTGAGAAAAGAGAAAAACTGGTGCATTGTCGTTTTCATCAACAATCTGAATACTGACTGTGACATTGGAAGCCATTCCTGCCATGTTGGTGGCCTGGACAATGAGCTGATAAGAGGAAGTCCGCTCGTAATCCAGTGCCTTCCGAGTGGTGATGACTCCAGAATAGGGGTTTATGGTGAAGATCCCATCAACATTTCCATCTTTCACTTCATAAATGAGAGTGGATTGACTGATGGCAGAGATTAGAATGACAGATGTTCCAACATCAACATTTTCATTCACTTCTGCTTGGTAGTCTTTGTGAGTGAACCTGGGGTTAGAATTATCAGACATGGTGACAGAAATGCGCACGATGGCGGTGGCAGACATCGGTGGGGAACCCTGATCCGTGACTTTGACTGACAGGACAAACTGACCCATTGTCGTCATGTCTGGCTCTTTGGAAACTGTGATGATGCCCAGGACCGGTTCAATCTTAAATGTGTTCCCAGTGTTCCCTGTAAGAGAGAAATCAACAAGCAAATGAGTTCAAGTGGGTCAGTTTCTGAAGATTCACTCTTCATCTTGAGGCTACTTTACACAGCATGACAAATAGAAGCAGTTATTTGTTTTCACTCCACCTCTTCCTGAAATAAAATGAGAGGCTTCCCTAAAAGGATACGCAAAAGACTTTGAAATGAATTTTCTAGTACATTGTGAATTTCAGACTAGTATCTTCTGAACCCAGGTTAACAAGAAAAACACTACAGCACTTATGTACTTTCAAACTGGGAAATAAGAATTTGTAGGAAAGACTTTTCTAGCAAGAATGCTCAGGACTTTCTTATTCCCAGATTAGGCTGGTACATGCNCTCTTCCTGAAATAAAATGAGAGGCTTCCCTAAAAGGATACGCAAAAGACTTTGAAATGAATTTTCTAGTACATTGTGAATTTCAGACTAGTATCTTCTGAAACCAGGTTAACAAGAAAAACACTACAGCACTTATGTACTTTCAAACTGGGAAATAAGAATTTGTAGGAAAGACTTTTCTAGCAAGAATGCTCAGGACTTTCTTATTCCCAGATTAGGCTGGTACATGCCAGTGACACTGGTAAAAAGGCATTCATCCTGAAACCAGTGCCACAATTCCATGTTCTGTGGTGTAAGAAAGAAGGTCATAGGAATCACTTCAGAACAGTATCACATAATCATTTGCTTTAAGATTATCCCAAAGGTAAGTTTTGCTGCATGGAACTGGTATTGTTTCATATTATAAGGATCAACTTCATTCCAAGGGGGGAGGGGGTTTGCTGCTCAGGCATGGAGAATTCTTCTCAGTCATCATTTGCTTTGTAAGCTGTGAGAATTTTTTCCGAATCCCCTACACTCCAATCACACAAACACATGCACACGTGGATGTAACAGTGGACATAAAAAATGACAAGGCAGTTGTTTCAATTTGCAGCCATTCTATTTGCTAAATTTTTGAGAGGTTTCTGGTGAAGTCCAGAACTGTTGGTCAGAAGCGGCCCTGAATCCAGAACTTGAGGCATGAACCTTAGGAGCCTGACATTGTGCACCCTGACATTGTGGGGGCGGAGAGCTCTGCCTCTGAAACAGGCGGGGTGTGACATCCGGGACTGTTGAGGGTGAGGAAAAGAGGAGGAGAGAGTGGGGAACACAAAATGTGAAGAGCGCAAAGAAGGCAGCTCACAGGTCACGAACAGTGGGAAGTAGCATCCTTCACCACATGGCTTTTCCCTTCTCGTGGGGCTTTCCCTTAGTTCTCAAACAACACACATACTTCCGGGTCTCCATTCTTTTAAACAAGTTAAAAATCTCAGTTATTCAAATATATCTGAGTTTTTCTTACTTTTTGAAGTTCTATAGTATGGCAACATACAGAGAGTTTAAATGTCATTATCATTACGATAGGCTCCAGGATTGAGGGGGCAGGTAAGTACAGTGCTTGTTGAAATATGGAGCTTCCCTGGTGGCTAAGTGGTAAAGAATCTACCAGCCAATGTAGAAGACATGGATTCGATCCCTGATTCAGGAAGATACCCTGGAGTAGGATATGGCAACCCACTCCAGTCCTCCTGCCTGGGAAATCCCATGAACAGAGGAGCTGGGTGGGCTACAGTCTATGGGGTCACAAAAGTCAAAATATGCAATAAATACAGCTATTTACATACTTCTTACTATGTACTTGCTAATTAAACTTTCCCATGTCTGAAAATGAAAATGTCATGTTCCTATGAAGTCTGTTTCTATGTTTGTTTATTTCTCGAGAGGGAGCAGATCTAACAGAGGGAAAGAATTTGCTTCTGACCCCAAATGTGGGTATGCCATCTAAACGTGACCATTTCACGATGACAACAAGAAGGTCAATGAGCTCGGGAACAAGCTTGCAAATTTTCAATAGATGGTACTGTGGAATTGAGTGTGACCCAATATTTGATTCACAGACCCTCACAAGACAGCAGGAATCATTTCACTTCAGCATCTCAGGGGAGGCAAATATAGAGATACCTGCCATGCAGGCCTGAATGATGAATGCTACATCCTCATTACGGGAGTTTTCAGGTGAGACCTTTCTTCCTGCAGGCCAGGACTTAACAGCAAGATACACATGGCAGGGACGAAAGAGGCCCAGCCAGCCTTTGACCCCACGTGGTGCTGCCCCACCCTGCGGTCCTGCGGTTGCAGACCTCCTTGATACCCACCCCAGGACGCTGTCCAGCGGCCACTGTCTCTCTCTCTTCAGGGCACGGTCCTGCTTACTTGGAATCCACTTCCTGCTTACTCTCCTCTGCTCTACTTGAATCTTTGGAAGCTAATCTTTGCTTGTTTTCTTGGAATCTATGCCAATGCAGGAGACGTGGGTTCTATCTCTGGATTGGAGAGATCCCCTAGACAAGGAAACGGCAACCCACACCATTATTCCTCCTAGTTTCCTGGCCCATGGCCAGAAGAACCTGGTGGGTGACATCCATGGGGTTTTAAAGTGTCAGACACGACTTAGTGACTCAGCAATAACAATGGCATGGCTTCTTATAGACTTTCGGCAACTGGGCAAAAGCTGTGCTGACGTTACTTACCATCATGAATCTGGTACATAGCACAGTGCCTGGCACAAAAAAGGAGCTCAGTAAATATATGTTGAATGGTTGAGGGAGGTAGATCCAAAAAAGTTTAACTCTCCGTCTGTATCCACCTTGGGGTCTAATACGCTCTCTCCCATCGTAACTTAGTTCTTTCCTAGTCCTGGTCTCTCCTATACTGCCCTCTCTCCAAGCCACCCGTGAAATACTGCTGGCCCCAAACGTCAACCCTGAACTAAATATAAGACCTGAAGTTCTGCACTTGATTCTACCTCCGTCCTTTGGGTAAAAACAAAAAGCTTCAGGGACTTCCTTGGAGATCCTGTGGCTGGGACTCCAAGCTCCCAAGGAAGGGGCCCAAGTTTGATTCCTGGCCGGGGAACTAGATCCCACATGCCACAACAAAAGATCCCTCAGGATACAACCGAGCCCTGGTGCAGCCAAATTTATTAATTAATTAAAAACAAAAAAGCTTCTGTAGTTACTTCAGGCCAGGCAGGGGCTAGGAAATGTATTGCTGTTGTTTAGTCACTCAGTCGTGTCCAGCTTTTTGTGACCCATGGACTGTAGCCCACCAGGCTCCTTGTCCATAGCATCTTCCAGGCAAGAATACTGGAGTGGGCTGCCATTTCCTTCTCCAGAAGATCTTTCTGACCCAGGCATGGAAACCGAGTCTCCGTGTCTCTTGCATTGGCAGGCAGATTCTTTATCACTGAGCCCCAGGGAAGCCTTAAATATGGACCACCAGTAAACAGAGTGGATCTTGCTTGTTGAGGTTTGTGAGAGCACTTACATGAGTTGAGTTGGGCGTGACTTAGCGACTAAACAACAACACTTTACACCAAACTCTTGTTATTTGCTTCAAAGTCCTGAACTAGCTGCGATCTGCCTGTCTCCTACCATGATCTGCAAAGAAACTTGGCTTAACCAGAACCAGTCCAGGTCAAGCATAGGTCTGTCTGTCCTGTAATTCTCATTAGCTTTTTATACATCTAATTGCCTTGGGGTTTCTGGAAATTCAAGTTTTCTGTATAAAAGAAATTTTAAGGGGAAAAAAAACGACTTTTCTCCCTAGCTTTAATTGAGAAAATGACTGAATTCTTTCTCCATGTTTAGCACCCAGCTACAGTCTTTGGAAGCTGAAGATAAACAATGCAGAACTTTCAGTTGGATGGTAAATTACCCTTAAATTACTCTTTGAGAACCCCTAAATTGGTTTTGAAATTGTCTGGTTATCTGAGAGGAGAAGTAGCAACCCTACTGACAAATATAAAAAACAAGTAGACACACGGACAAATGCTTAGAAGATGTTGAGAAAAGTAGAAATAAAACCATATACCTAAATGATTACAATGACATAAAAGAAGGTATATGCATAAACAAATGAGGAGAAAAGAAAAAACACACATGATTAGGGAAGAACTATAGAATGAATATAAAGAGTTATTGAATTGCCACGCTTCCTGTGGCAGTATTTAAACAATTATTTTTTAAAGTTTCCCTGTATTATTTGTGAAACTAAAGGAACAAGGACTCAATAACAAAATAATTAAAATGGCCTGTGATAAACAAGAAATGCAAAATAGCGTTTAAAAAAAAGTACTGTCAGGCTTGGCCTTCCCAGGTGGCACTAGTGGTAAAGAACCCACCTGCCAATGCAGGAGACAGAGGAGACATGGGCTTGATCCCTGGGTCAGGAAGATTCCCTGGAGGAGGACACGGCTCCCCACTCCAGTGTTCTTGCCTGGAGAATCCCAAGGACAGAGGAAACTGGTGGGCTACAGTCCACAGGGGCACAGAGTTGGACACGACTGAAGCGATTTAGCACACATCTACACACACACGCACTGTCAGGCTTTAGGCTGAAAGGAAACTCTATGGAAAATTGGAAAAGAAATGGACAAATTCTCTTGGGGCACCTGGCTGTTATGAACCCATGTCTTTTCTTTTCTTTTCTTTTTTTTTGGCATAGAGTTTATACAGACTCATGTAAAATGTCAGTGTCTAATACAGGAAATAGTTTTATATTGTCATTCAATAGAGGGGCTATTTTTACAGAAGGTTGTTGGCTTTTTTTCCTAAAAGTTTTTAGTCCAAAGTTATCATTCTAGCATTCATATTTTAATCCAACCAGTTTCAAAAATGCTCCTTATTTAAATCAAGAGAAAGAAGCCTTTCCAGCGCTAGCATGAAAGGAGACAGCATTTGGCATTATGCACGACAGACATAATGTTGCAGAACATTTTGGAAATATGTGGCTTGAATGTTCAAAGAAGACAGAACAGGGAAGGGAAAATCGAGCAGAGAAGGATCTTTGTAATGTTTAGGCTTACAGTCTTCTCCTCGCTTGGACATTTATCTCTTCTGTCATAAGTGTTTTCTAAGTGTCCATCTGCAGACCATCAGTAAACTAGGGTCTTGCCTTCTAGATATCAAAATTGAATTTTTAAAATACTCTCAAGTTTTAACAACACAAGAGCCTGTATTTATTTATCTGTCAGTTTAAGCAGGCTGTTGAGTCCTTACCCACTACTCTGCTACTCATATCACCTCCAATGAAGGGAGTCTGTGCTAACTAGGGTGTGAGGGGTATAGGCATTTTTGAAGCCCACAGCCCACAGCCCAGCTACTGACAAGTAAACAATGATCTTTAAGATTCAGTTCACAGAACCGTCTGGCAGCCCTCCTATGATGGGAGGCTTTGGTTATTTCAGTCTGAGGCCATGGGCTTGTTGACCCATCAAAAAAAGCCACAGAGTTTATTATGCAGTCTTCTCTCTTCTCCATTCCAGAAAAATCTGAGATTGAACACAATAAAAGGAAACTCTTTCTTTGCTGTCAATGATGGAAAACATATTACTGAAATGCCAAGAACTTAATACACCATCACTGAGCAAATAGGGCAGTTGCTTGGCCAAAAAATCCATTTGGAGACATGCCAGTGGTAACTATGAGAATTTTACATGGTGATAAACACTACTGAGGGTCCAGTGCCATGCATGATGCTGCCGTCTGCACCAGCTCTCACCTGCTTCTATGGTATACATGAGTTCTGCATTTTCCCCTTTGTCTTTGTCCAGAGCCGTCACCTGCAGTACAGCTGATCCCAGAGCAGCCGATTCAAACACAGACGCTTCATAGAGTGGGTTGGTAAAATAAGGGCTGTGATCGTTAGCATCTTCCACATTCACAATGACTCGGGCCAAGTTTCTTCGATAAGGAAACTCCTGATCTCTGACCTTGAGGCAAAATACAAGAAGCAATAGGACTAAAATCTTTAAGTTGCAAAGAATTCACATGGCTCTGCCTACAGTGAAATCAAAATGAAATCATGCATGGGAAGTGCCTGACCCATTCCCAGGCCGAGGAGCTTCTCAGTAACTGACAGTGCTTCTAGTAAGTGGGGACGCTGACTGTGAACATGGTGAGGGCCAGGGCCACTTTGGATTGCTCAGCATTAGGTTGGCCTCTGGCCCGTGTCCAGTTCGTGCTTGTGGAACTGAAGCTCGACTATCACAAACACAGCACTTCCCTCTGGCCTCCCTCACCCAGCCCTCTGTAATTTGCCTGAATAGTTGCTAATGGAATGGTGGATGGAGGCTCTTCTAAAGGGGAAACTGAAATGTGGAAGTAATGAATGCAATGTAGGCACTGTCATTCATTCATTCATTCAACAAACATTTATTATCATCTGTTATCTCTTAAGCCCCAGGATGGCCCCAGGTGTTTCAGCACTGATTAGATACAGTTCCCGGCCTCAGCAGTTGACTAGGGAATGCAAACAAGTAAGTAGTCAGATAAAAGGCAAAGAGATAAATGCCAAAATATGAGTAAGCAGTAAGAAGAACGTAGCCTAGCTTACAAAACCAAGTAGAAGTGGTAAAATGCTGGGGGAGGTGGTGTGTGGCATATATTTCAGGCAAGAGGAACCAACATAAATAAAGGTCCAGAGCTAAGAGAGAACCCTAACCACTGGGAAGATGAACCAAATCTTAATTTCTAAAATGTGACACTCCCACACTGCAACATGCTAAAGAACCTTGCCTGACTGCTTTCAAGTTTTCCCTGGTTTGCACATGGCAGAAACTTAGTTCAATTCCATTCAGTCACTCAGTCATGTTCGACTCTTTGCGATCCCATGGACTGTAGGATGCCAGGCTTCCCTGACCATCACCAACTCCCAGAGCTTAGTAAAACTCATGTCCATCGAGTTGGTGATGCCATCCAACCACCTCATCCTCTGTCATCCCCTTGTCCTCCCGACTTCAGTCTTTCCCAGCATCAGGGCCTTTTCCAGCAAATCAGTTCTTCGCATCACATAGCCAAAGTATTAGAGTTTCAGCTCCAACGTCAGTCCTTCCAATGAATATTCAGGACTGATTTCCTATAGGATGGACTGGTTGGATCTCCTTGCAGTCCAAGGGACTCTCAAGAGTCTTCTCCAACACCACAGTTCAAAAGCATCAATTCTTCAGCGCTCAGCTTTCTTTATAGTCCAACTCTCACATCCAAACAGGACTACTGGAAAAACCATAGCCTTGACTAGACAGACATTTATTGGCAAAATAATGTCTCTGCTTTTTAACATGCTGTCTAGGTTGGTCATAGCTTTTCCTCCAAGGAGCAAGTGTCTTTTAATTTCATGGCTGAAGTCACCAAAATCATTTGCAGTGATTTTGGAGCCCAAGAAAATAAAGTCTCTCACTGTTTCCATTGTTTCCCCATCTATTTGCCATGAAGTGATGGGACCAGATGCCATGGTCTTAGTTTTCTTAACGTTGAGTTTTAAGGCAGCTTTTTCACTCTCCTCTTTCACTTTCATCAAGAGGCTCTTTAGTTCTTCTTCACTTTCTGCCATAAGGGTGGTGTCATCTGCATATCTGAGGTTATTGATATTTTTCCCGGCAATCTTGATTCCAGCTTGTGCTTCATCCAAGCCAGCTTTTTGCATGATGTACTCTGCATATAAGTTAAATTAGCAGAGTGACAATATACAGCCTTGATGTACTCCTTTCCCAATTTTGAACCAGTCCTTTTTTCCATGTCCAGTTCTAACTGCTGCTTCTTGACCTGCATACAGACTTCTCACGAGGCAGGTCAGGTGGTCTGGTATTCCCATCCCTTTAAGAATTTTCCACAGTTTGTTGTGATCCACACAGTCAAACCAGTCTCCTTTGGCGTAGTCAATAAAGCAGAAATAGATGTTTTTCTGGAACTCTTGCTTTTTTGATGGTCCAATGGATGTTGAGCTTGTGAGATGAGAGCAATTGCGTGGTAGTTTGACATTCTTTGGCATTGCTTTTCTTTGGGATGAGAATGAAAACTGACCTTTTCCAGTCCTGTGGCAGAAGCTTGCAACTAATCAATTCTATAACACATGATTTTGCTATAATTGTATGTAGCATTAATCCAATGTGTGCTTTTTTTTCTTGTTCAGGTGTAGATCCCCTAACTTCAGAGAGGTTTGAAGAAATTAGAAAATCTACTGAGAAAGGCCCTACCCCTTACCCTCCCTTTAGATATAAGGGGAAGGGGTTTTCAAAAATAGTATCTGAAAGGAGTTCAGCAAAATGACTAAAAGGGCTTAGCTTGGAGAAAGGCAGCACAAAGGAGTTGCTTGCTCTAAACAGTTACATAAATGATAAATGATGCAGGGTGAGCACACTGAACTCTGAGTTATTTAAGGAAAGAATGAACAGACATGGCTTGAAGAATGGTAAGAATGGTGTTAGTCACAGGGAGGGGCTTTCTGTGAAGAGATACCTGTAAATGCTAGCCAATGAGCATGCTAAGTTCCCTGTCTATAGACCGGCCTGCCCCACCTAAGGACCAAGCTGGACTCTGCATTTTGGGGTTATTGAAATCTAGGTCTTTTCCATTCGAATGTCCAAGGGTGCAAGGACTTTGCCTCTTTTATATCCTCAGTGCCTAGAACAGAACATAGTACACAGTGGGTGCTGGAGAAATATCTGTTCAATGAATGCACGAATGAGCAGCCAGAGGAATGCATCTCATGAACCCGAGTCCCTCCTCCATTCCCCGCACTCTCAGCTGGCAGCCACAGCCAGCGCCACGGCACTCAGCTTTCCTCTTGCCCAGAGAGGTTTCCAGACTTGGAAAGAAGGAGCAGCACTTACAGGAACATTACTTCAGCTGCTTCAGAATTGACAGCATCTTAGTGCGTCTTAGAGTCAATCTACAGAAACTAAGTCTCTGCTCTCCTACCCAGTCTTAAGGAACTCAGGGGTCTCTGATAGGTGGTAGCTGTGAAATTGCCCAGGGCCTCTTGGGTAGTTAAAGGGACAGGTTTTAGGTCATAAACAAGTGTGTTTTCTTACTAATCTTTACTTCTCATTTACGCAAACTCGTCGAACTTTGCTTTAAAATGAAAGTGACTTCTACATAATTTGGAGACCGTATGAACCCAAATTTAGACTTATTTCTACAGGCTTTGGTGAGTTCTGAGATCACTTTTGTGAGCCAGTATTTATCGCTAGGTCCAATGCCAGTGCAGTAAGTAATAAATCAGTCCTCTAAATGCTTCTAAGGACTAAGGACTGTACAGCTCAAATAAATGATTACCTTTGTGATTATCTTCTCAAGGAACTTTTAAACTTTTCCACCAAATCTTCTGGACGCGAACCAATACCACAGCCTCGGAGATTTATGGAAACACAGCCTGTTCCTTCCCTCTCAAGTCAGGCTGCCATGAGCCTTTACTGTACAGTTCCTCTAATATTTCAGTTTGGCAAAAATACTGAGTCAGTACCTAACAGTGTAATTCCTCGCTGAAGTAAAAAGGCACGAATGAAGGCAACCTGCTGTGAAAAGATCACATTCACTACTACTTACAAAAGTCAAGGGCCCTGCCCGCCTGGCGGCTAAGGCGTGTGCCTGAAGCAGGAGCTTCTGCTAGGAGAGCATTAAGCAGTCTGGTCCTACCATTACGTGCAGGATGTGCTTGTCCTGCGCCTCATGGTCCAGCCGCTCGGCCGTGTAGAGGACGCCGGAGCTGGGATCTATGCGGAACTTCCTCATGCTGACGGAGTCGATGCTGCTGTGGACGCTGTAGCTCAGCTTATGCTTCTCATCCCTGTCCGTGGCTTCAATCTGCAGGATTTCGGTATCTGGAAGCACATCCTCGGAAATGGTCACATCGTAACTTGGCTGAGAGAATTCTGGGCCGTTATCATTATTATCCAGCACTTTGATAAATACCTACAGTTAAAAGAAGACAAGAGTGATGACAGATGCCAATTTACTCACTGATAATAAAAGAGGCCCCCTCCCTCTCTCTTCCCTCTGTGTCCTTGGATCCCAGCTTCAAACAGCTGTTTTAATAAGTAGGGAGATTCTTATGAAAGTGTGCTGTAATTAGAGATTGACAATAAACCAGCATTTCACATTAACAGGAATATAAACTGTGAGGATCAATATTCTCACTATGAACTGAACAGATGAGATGACCCCAGGAGGATGATCATTCCAGAAGATTATGTGGGGCGCAATGTAGGACATCCCAAGGTGACCTCAGTTTGTTAAGCTCTCATCATCGCACATTCTGGTTATGTGCTCTTACTGCTCTAGAGTGGACTTGACGTGGAGGCAACGACAAGATAAGCAACAAGGAAGAGGCTAAGGAAAAAGAGGAGAGCTCAGAGGTGGTTCTCCTTCAGACAGGTGTCTACCGGGGAGCACGGTGCTAATGCCAATGGCAGCTAGAGCACAAAGGTCCCAAGTTGTTTCTCTTTAGGAAGCATTTTGTTTCCAAACTCTTCAGGAGAATTTTATAAAAGTCATAGCTGGATGAACCCTTTATTCATCACTCAGCTTTGGCAATGATCAGTTTATGACTAATCTTGCTTTATCTTTACACCTGTTCATTCCCATCTGCTCCCTTGTATTATATTGAAGCACATCCTAGCCATCATGTAATTTCAGTGTACATCTCTAAAAGACAAGGAATCAAAGTAAACACACACATATCACACATACTCACACACACTCACAATATCACTACTGCATCTAAACAGAGAAAACAATTCCTTAGTGTCTTTAAATATTCAGTCGGTGTTCATACTTCTGTAATTGTTTTTAATGAGGTACATATGCTTGTGTACTTGTGAATGTATATTTTCAAAGTTCCTTTTAACCACGATGTGCAAACAAGGCACAGGCATTGCACCTGATTAGTGTCTCCTGCAGGCATCTCTTAATCTGTAGCTTCTCCCCCCACTTCTCCCTTGCAGTTTTCATGTTGCTGTTGTTATTAATCAAAAAGCTGAGCTACTTTTTCTTTTGTTCCCATAGTCTGAATTTTGCATATTGTATCCCTATAGTTTTGTTTTACATGTTCCTCTGTCCCCTGTATTTCTTATATTGGCAGTTTTATGTAGAATACTTAATAAAATTCCCATTCAATTTCCTTCTTCCTTTTCTTTTTTTGTTGACAAAAGCCCCTCATGGGTCAAATTGTGTATTTCCATTTGGAGATACATAATATCTGGTTCTCTATCTTATTCTGTGATACTGGCCGCTGATGATCATGACACAATGTTAATTCATTAGAGTGCAAAACAGCACCATTTTAATTCTATGATTTCTTCCTCAATTATTAACTACAATAGTTCTAAAAAGAAACTTCTCTTTAATTATTCGGTTACTCTGAAGTACACTTCATGTAAGGGCTTTCTCAGTGGCTCAGCAGTAAGGAATCTGCCTGCAATGCAGGAGATGGAGGTTTGATCCCTGGGTCGGGAAGATCCACTGGAGGAGGGCAGGGCAACCCACTCCAGCATTCTTGCTTGGAGAATTCCATGGACAGAAGAGCCTGGTGGGCTACAGTCCATGGGGTTGCAAAGAGTTAGGACATGACAGAAGTGACTTAGCATGCACACGTGTATACACACTTCATGTAGAAAAGGCCCATATTTACTGATGTACACATGGTCCTTCCTTGGCCTTCTCACATGGGCTCTTGTGATATTCTGACACAACCCAGGCAGAATTTGGTGGTTTTCTTGCTTTCTAGTAACTGCTACTGATAACTTTTTCAGTCATCTTATACATATCCTTGCTCCATTCTTGATTTATCTATAACTTCAAGAAGTGTTGGTGTCGTTTTAGTTAGAAGTGACATTTAGAAACCATGATCTGGTACTAGGAATGCTTATTGCTGTCAGCTTTGGTATTTTTTTAGCAGAGTCAGCAAAGCATTTCTAATAATTATATCATGAGTTCATATTGATACTACCAATTCAAAACTAAGTTGTTAACGACTCTGTCCATCAGTGGACTGGCACAGTCCTGGGCCCATCCCCCCCAGCCCTGCCCTGAGCCATGTGGCCAACTACACTGGGAGCTGACTGTGTCGACAGTGGGCCATTGGCCACTGCATGTGGCAGGGCCTGGCAGCTAACAGGGATGACAGCCAGCCTGCCCACCAGCACATCCACAGTAGTTGACTGCCGCAACAAAAGAGCCCAGGCAACCCACACAGGAGGCATCACTAGAACATACAGACCTTGTAACAAGAGGCTAGTATGCTGCTGGGCTGCAAAGGCCGTCTCCTGCACAATGCTACTTAGATGGGGGTTTGATCCCTGGGTCGGGAAGATCCCCTGGAGGAGGGCATGGCAACCCACTCCAGCGTTCTGGCTTGGAGAATTCCATGGACAGAGGAGCCTGGTGGGCTACAGTCCACGGGGTTGCAAAGAGTTAGGACATGACAGAAGTGACTTAGCATGCACACATGTATACACACTTCATGTAGAAAAGGCCCATATTTACTGATGTACACATGGTCCTTCCTTGGCCTTCTCACATGGGCTCTTGTGATATTCTGACACAACCCAGGCAGAATTTGGTGGTTTTCTTGCTTTCTAGTAACTGCTACTGATAACTTTTTCAGTCATCTTATACATATCCTTGCTCCATTCTTGATTTATCTATAACTTCAAGAAGTGTTGGTGTCGTTTTAGTTAGAAGTGACATTTAGAAACCATGATCTGGTACTAGGAATGCTTATTGCTGTCAGCTTTGGTATTTTTTTAGCAGAGTCAGCAAAGCATTTCTAATAATTATATCATGAGTTCATATTGATACTACCAATTCAAAACTAAGTTGTTAACGACTCTGTCCATCAGTGGACTGGCACAGTCCTGGGCCCATCCCCCCCAGCCCTGCCCTGAGCCATGTGGCCAACTACACTGGGAGCTGACTGTGTCGACAGTGGGCCATTGGCCACTGCATGTGGCAGGGCCTGGCAGCTAACAGGGATGACAGCCAGCCTGCCCACCAGCACATCCACAGTAGTTGACTGCCGCAACAAAAGAGCCCAGGCAACCCACACAGGAGGCATCACTAGAACATACAGACCTTGTAACAAGAGGCTAGTATGCTGCTGGGCTGCAAAGGCCGTCTCCTGCACAATGCTACTTTTCCAAGATCGAGAAACATAACTGAACTACCTAATACATAAAACAAATACAGAAAATAAGGTACAATGAGGAGATGGAGAATATGTCCTAAATGAAAGAACAAGACCAAACCCCAGAAGAATTAAGCAAAGAGATGAGCAATCTTCTACCATCGAGTTTAAGATGATGATCATAAAGAAGTTTAATGAGCTTGGGGGTGGGGAAATGGATGAGCAGAGTGAGAAGTTTAACAAAGATTTAGAAAATATAAAGAAGAACCAAACAGAGATGAGGAATACAATAACTGAAGGAAAAAATACTCCAGAAGGAATCTACAGTAGATTAGGTGATGTGGAGAAAAGGATCAGGGAACTAGAAGATAGAGCAGTGGAAATTCCAAGCTAAACAGAAGAAACAAACAAACAAAAAAAGAATTTTAAAAAAACAAGGATAATTTAAGAGACTCCTGGGGCAACATAAAACACACAAACAAACACATTAAAGGTCTCAGAAAGAGAAGAGAGAGAAAAAGGGAGAAGATAGTATATTTGAAGATATACTAGCTGAAAACTTCTCTAACTTGGGAAGGGAAACAGACATCCATGTACAGGAAGCACAGAGAGTCCACAGCAAGACATATTATAATTAAAACACAAAAATTAAATATAAAGAGGGAAACTTAAAAGCAGCAAGGGAAAAGCAACTAGTTACAAACAAGAAGACTAATAACACTATCAGCTAAGTTTTCAGCAGAAAACTTGCAGGCCGGAAGTAAATGGCATGATATATTCAAATGCTGAAATGGAGAAAAAAACTCTAGCACCCAAAATAATCTATCTGGTGAGGTATCATTCAGAATTGAAGGAAAGTTTTAAAAGATAATCATAAGCTAAAGGAGTTCATCACCACTAAGACAACTTTACAAGAAATGTTGAAAGGATTTCTTTAAGTGGAAAAGAAAAGGCCACAAATAGAAAAAATTTTTAAAAAGCTATGACTGGAAAAACCTCACTGGAAAAGGCACAATCTAGGAAAGGTAGTGGATCAAAACACTTATAACGCTCAGTAGGAAGGTGAAAAGACAAAAGTAATAAATCATCTTTATCTACAATAAGTAGATAAGTAATATATCAAATAAAAAGATGTACAATGTGTTGCCAAAAATGTGGGAGCAAAGGAGTAAAAACTGAAGCCTGTTAAAATGTATTCAAGCTTAAGAAATAATGAACTTAAAATCAATACCCATACATAAAGATGTTGTATATAAATCTCATGGTAACCACAAATCAAAAGCCTAAAATAAACACACACACAAAAATAATAATAAAGAGAAAAGAATCCAAATAAACACTAAAGATAGTCATCAAATCACAAGGGAAGATTGCAAGGGAAGAAACGGAATTAAGGAGAACTACAAAAACAATCAGAAAACAATTAACAAAATGACAGTAAGTACATGTTTATCAATAATTAAATGAAAATAGACTAAACACTCCTACAAAAGACATAGAATGACGGGATGGATAAAATAAGACAAGACCTACAGACATGCTGCCTACAAGAGACTCATTTCATATCTAGAAATACATACACAATGAAAGTGACAGAATGGAAAAAGGTACACCATGCAAATGGAAATCAAAAGAAAGCTGTGGTAGCAGGACTTAGACAAAAGAAACTTTAAAACAAAGACTGCAACAAGACACAAAGAAAGACGTTACATAATGTTAAGGGAATAAATCCAACAAAAAGATAATAAATGCAAATAGGCATTTATCCAACATGATTTTGCTATCACTC